ACAAAATAATTTGATGTTTCTATGGTATATGTAATCAAATCATTTACGATTGTATGAAATTCAACAACTTAACAGTTGCTAAATTAATTCCTGTTAAAATGATGTGACATAATCCAGCAAAAATGGTTAGTTGCTTGGACTCAAATAAATAAATAAATGTAAATGTTTTAATTTACAAATATCAACATTGTTGTTGTTAACAAAAGTGTAAAGAAATTTTTTAAATCAAACCTTGTAACCATAGCTTTCCTACTTTTTTTTTTAAGTATAGAACGACAGCTCGGTGGCAAGCACTGTTTCCTCGCTGCAAGAATGTCCTAAGTCCTAAGATCCACTAACTGGCCAGGGCCTTTCTGTGTGGTGTTAGCATAATTGTGTTTGCGTGGGTTCTCTCCAGGTACTCTGACTTCCTCCCACAGTCCAAAGACATGTGAGGTTACTTGATGATTCTAAATTGCCAATAAGTATGAACTGTGAATGTTAGTGCATATAGCTGTCTGTCCCACCTCTGCCATAGTCCTCTCACCCTATGACAGCTGGGAAAGGCTCGAGCCCCTCTAGCCTCCGAGATAAGCAGAGAAGAATGGACGGATGGGTTCCTCCCTGAGCCTGGTTCTGCCAGAGGTTTCTTCATGTTAAAAGGGAGTTGTTCCCTTTTTTGTTCATTTAAATATTTGTTTTTTTGTTTTTTGTTTTGTTTTTGTTGTTTGTTTTTTGGGGTGGGGGGGGGGTGTTAGTGTGGACAGAGCTGTGGCTGTAAGGTTGTTAATGCCTGTCATGTTGGTAATCTCAGGTGGGGAGTCTTAACAGCCTTGTTTAGCCTGTGGGACAGACACTGGCAGGCCAACTAGAGCAGCTCTGGAGGTCTTTGAACCCATGGAATTAGACTTTTGGTCAGCTTTGATTGCTCTGGCAATCTGTACAGGGGCCATTTCAGCCTTGAGCTGAGGTGAAGAAAAAATGTAAAAGTCATTGCCCTACAAATTGAGAATAAACACACACACACTTAAAGCAACAGTTTGTATAATGAGAAGGTTAAGCAAGTGTTTTGAAGCAGGTTTTTTACCATGGCTACAGGGATAATTATGTTTCTGTGCTTTTTGCATTTAAACCACAAAGGTACCTAAAACAAGTCCCTTGGTATTCTTTGTTTCTTGTGTGTTACATTTTTAATTCTGATGCTCTGATGTAACTCAGCCTAATTAAAGTTTTCTGGTCACTCATTAGATAGTTGTTTTTTCTAGAAAGGCAGAATGTGGAGCAGAGGACTTCAGTCCTGCTTAGACAAGCCAGTGATACCTTCTCACATATTTTGTAAAGCAACCTTTAAATCTGGAGGGGTTTCATTTGTGTTCTGCAGCCTTTTAATGTTTTCATGCACACATCAAATTTTTCTTCACTTGTCATTGTCGTTTATCGAGCTAATTTTTTCTTACCTGGTCACCTGTTGGGAGGTTCATCCGTCTGTCTGGTGAGAGAGATGGAGCTGTGGACATTCGATATTCCACTCCAAAGTCCCAGAGGTCTGTACCTTTACTTTACTGTCTTTACTTTTCCACCAACTAACTACTGATGTCCAGTCAAAACTTCATAATCTGCCATTTATATAAAACAGAAACACTTGTTAAAGGTGATGAAGTGTTTTTGGGGTTTTTTTTGGTAAAAATTATTTAAAACTGATTCTGTTATTGCTGTTGGTGCTTTTACAGTTCTGGACCCTAACCACAATGTTAATAACACATTTTCTTTTTCTTTAAATAACAACCATAGTTGGAATCCAAGAGATCAAATAACAGACAACTCAAAAATATATATAACAACTGCATTATTAGTGTTTGTGGTGTTTCTTTTAACTAATGTCATTATTTGATTAAATCTATTGTTTTAACCAAACCTACAGTATTATTTGAAGTTATAGTACCTGCTTATGGGGTACAGTAATACAGCAAAAGTACAATTTGGTTTTGGTACAGTCATACTGAAGTTTTAGTCCAGTCACACTGATGTTTATTTGGGTTCATTTATTTTAAAATTTAGGGTTCTTAAAGTAAATTTAACTTTAAAATAGGTGGTACTCATTTACTTTGCTATAAGGAGTTCATGTGACTCAATTTTGAGTAAGTTGTTAGCTTAAGTTATTTAATAATTCTGATACCATTAGATTTTAGATTAAATTAGATTTTTACAATAGAAATGGTGGTTACTTTCAAGGAGGTTAAGTGATTGTTTAGGTATGCTTGTCATTGTGATCACAAGTAACTTATTTTTACAGGAATCATTTTAATACAGCTCAAAATACCACAAATCTTGACGTTCTCACAAAAAACCCAGCCTGATCTCATAGCAGTTCATGATATACTCATGACTACTAATCTACTGATTCCCGTTGCTGGCCCACATTTCACAACAGTATGTTGTGTCCTTGAGCACAATTTTTCTTCAGTCCACTCTATTTGTTTATTAAAAAAGTTAGATAAATTCTAGATTAACAATTAACAAAGAGTGTATTTGTTTTCATGGCAGATGTTGAACTTTGAGTTACATGTCAGTTTTCCACAAATCACTTGTATGATTTTTTTTTATCCATTAAATTGCATGTATGTCATTTGATTAAGGTTCGTCATTTGAAACCTCTTGGTTAGGTTTTGAAAAAGTGATCTCAGTAAAATTATAAACCTTGTCACAGCTGGTGGTAAAACCTCCCTGCTTTTTCTGCAAAAATATGTGCTTTTGACACAAAATGCATTCCCTGCCAAAATGCATTACTTACAAATTTATGATAATTAATTTTTGACTATTTCCTACTCGTCACGGCTGCTACAACAGTCGTGTGGTGTTTGTGAAGGAAGGACCTAAATGCAGGCGAAGGCTGTGATTCGAGTGAGCGTTTTATTTACAGTGTCTGCACAGTGACAAAACAGGAAATAATGATTGGGGAGCTACCAAAACCTAGAATGGGAAAACCAACGTCATGCAAACTCAAACTGAAAAACAAAACGCTAAACACTGTGATACCTGAAACCACGAGGAGACAAAAGGCACGGGAACACATGGCATGAGAGGTGGGGATGACACAGAGAAACACCAAGAAACGCAGAGGGCCCCTTCGCCTAATGTCCTGGTGCAGTTGTGTACTGAATAATATAATGTCTGTGAGTATACTGATTTTGAAGTACTGTGTAAAATGTAATTAAGACCACAATGATAATGCTTTTGCTAAACATGGCTCAAACTCTCCTAGGTTTAAGTCATCATCTAACCATAGCTGTATTCATAAGATAAGAAATCTTGGTAATCCAGATCGAAGGACTAAAAAGTACTTTTTGTTTGCCTCTGAAGAAGGCAAGGACAAATTCCTTGGGCAAGTATTGGGATCATCGCTGAAAATGGCTTGAACCTTGTTTCTTTATTTTTGGAAACATGTTTTTTATATGAGTAGATGAATTTTGAACATTTTGGCCAGTCTGAAAAACTTCACTGTGAATGATTTTAAAGCATCTCAGCAGTAAACAGAATCAGAATTACAATTATTGTTTCTTTTTGCATAAAAAAGGAATTTGTCTTGCTATCATGTTACAAACAGTCGCTTAAAAAAAAAAAAAAAAGAATATTTAGCTATGAAAAACCTAATATTTATACCAATATCACACATAACATATCACTCTCTCCACTAAGAAAAAGAGAGATTTTGAGGTTCGGGGCTTTTATGCTTTATTAAGTTTGTGAAATAGTCCAGCTGCATGGGGAAAAAAACTGGTACTGATGGACTGCAGCTTCCTGCCAGAGGTTAGTGGGACTAAAAATTTATGTAATGTGGGAATGGCAATCTCTCATGTCTGTCACAGACATACTAGTAGTACAAACTATACTGTGGTGGGTCCATCTTCTAGATTTAATGTTATGCCAAGAGAAAAAAAAGTGGCTTTTTAACATATTGTCTGCCTAAATATAAATTTAATATATAAATATCCGTGTAAAAGATGGTCATAGTTTCTGATTCTGAAAAGGAAAGCCAAAGCAGAAGTGCCTGACACTTTCATTTTTTTTTTTTACCACGTCAGCAGAAGACCGCTCCTCTGGATGAAAAATCTAGTTTTGAAGTCTGTAGGAAACAACCTTAACATTAAGTTATTTTATGAGCTTTATACATACTTGATGAGTTTTGGTCTTACACCATAGTTTTAAGTCTTATAAATTCAACATAATGATCACCCTGTTAATGGTCCCACAGAAAAACAGAATAAAACACAGTGTGATTTGGGGCATTGTTACTTTATAATTGGCATGTTGCTATCATATAAGCATGGCACGTCTTTCAAAAAACTTGAGGACAATAGAAAAAATGCTTAGTGGAACTTTACTGGCCAGTGGGTGCATCACAGCTGCACAGTCAGAAATAGGGGTACGGAAGGGGTACATTACTGTGCCCCAAGGTACAAAAATGACATTAATACAGTCTAAGGACAAATATTGGACCTCGGGGTAACTATCTGTACCTTTTTTAGCGTCTGAAAGGTACATACATGTTCCTTAATTGTGAAAAGTACTTATTTGTACCTATTCTTTCAAAAGATAAAGTACAGGTTGATTAAGCTCTTTTTGATTAGAGGTTTTTTTTTAAATTCTTTTTGACAGTAATTTATTTGCAACTGTATTGATTTAAGCATATATTTTAGTGTTTTTATTTTTTATTATTTTCATTGCTGATGCTGTTTTTGTATTCCCTGAAACCCCCCCTTATTTTTAAGCTGCTTTAAGAACAATGAATTTATTTGAAAGAAAAAAAAGTAAAAATGCATTTAAAAAATTTTTTAAGGGAGTGTTTTTTTTTAAGTATAACTATTTGGATGAATTGCAAAAAAGCACCCTCTCGAGTGCGAGTTGAGCCCATCCTCACAACATCAAACAAAAAGTAGAAGAAGAAACTCAACGAATAGCTGGTGGATTCTAGAACTTTCTTAAATGCAGCAGGTGCCATTTTGTTTTATCAACGGACGGAGATGGATTACGAACTTGCAAGTCCTGGTGTGCTCTGTTCACTTTCAACCGAGGAACTCTTAACAAAAATACAAGAGTGGGGCTTAGATGTCACCGAAGCTGAAGCTCAGCATTTCAGAGGTAAGTTTTATTTAAAGAAAAATGTAGCGTAATTACTAATTATTGGTTTAGCCTAGCTTAACGTATATTAGCAATTTAGCTAGTTTCGGCACTCTCTTAGCTCAAATTATGTCTTTTACAAACGTTTTTACAAACGTTTCATGTGTAAAGTTGAGGTCACAGTTCTGAAAAATGAAAAATGTGTACACATAGTATTTGTATAAGTTTGAACTTATATATGTGGTTCGGCCACAGTCTATGGGTTCGGTAACCCCTGCGCAGCGGAACGGCGCGAAATTTGATTCCCTGGTAGCTGAATGCAGTTTACCGTTAGTGTATTAATGGTTTAATAAAATCACGTTTTTACATCCATCCAAGGCCATCAACACACATGGGCGGCTGTATAACGTAAAGGAAATATCTTGACGCCGCACTTGTTTAAAATATAACAAGGGTGTCGCAGCTGGGGTTTGATAGTCCCGTTTTAGCAATGTGGGAACTTTTTCAGCATGTAATCTGAGCTTGTAATACGGTCCTGCGGGTGTTATCGCTATAAGTAATCGGTCTGAAAGAACAGACGGCAGAAACTGTCGGAAATCTGGAGAAAGGAGTCACCTTAGTAGTGAATATTAACAAATTACAGCATTCTAGTCTTTTTTTTTCTTCCAAACTTGAAAGGGCACAAAAGCATGCTCAGACTCTGCTCTCCTGTGTCCAGTAGTCCCAAACAAACATCTAAATTTAAAAATGAAAACTTTGGATATCAAGAGGATTCACTCTAAAAATTTGGTTTATTTTATTTAATTTACTGATTTTTTTAATGAATATTTCTTTGAACTGAAAGAAGTTGTACAAAAGGTTTTAATGTGTGTGATATATGGTTTTTACCCATGTAAAAATGTGGTGATAAATATCCTTACATTGAATTTAAAGTTTGTACTACCATTTATCTTGCAGACAATGAGGTTGATGGTGACACAGTTGACTGCGGTCTTACTGAGACTATGGTTGCATACCTTTTCCAAGGATCCTTCAAAAAGCAGGTTAAATTCAACCAATTTGTGTCAAGGATGAAGGAATCTTCAGTGACGCTGACTCTACAGACTGTCTCTCCAGAAGACTGGCAACCATCTACTTCGTCAACTTCAATAAGGTATTTTCTTATTTATAATGAAGTTAGTATGTCTGAAACATACATGTTGGCCGTTATGCACTTTTAGGATTTAGTTAATATGATCATTTTCTACCATATGTATTGTTACTGTAGTGTTTTATACTTCAATTCATGCAATAAAAACAAACATTAACTGTTTTCACAGCAATGAAAATACTTTGAGACTGCCAGCCTCTTTTGAAATTCCAAGATTTCCCAAAAATCTGCAACTAAAACTGGACAACAAAGAACCGTGCCATAAAAATCCAAGGGACAGACACACAATAATCAGAGTTCTATATGAAGCTGTGTCACAGTATACTATGTAAGTTAATCAGGGTAATGTTAGCTTGTTGCTTTAGAAAAAGCTGAATCTGTCATATTGAAAATAAACGCTACATTACTAAGAAACAATAACTGACACTTGATAAAGTTTGTTTGTCAGCAGTTGCTCTAACACTTATGTTTCTTCTGATATTACAGGTATCCCACAAATTCTGAATATGTGCAAGCTGTGAAGACGCTGGTAATGAAGTATCCTTTCCTCAAGGATCGTGAGGGAAATGGTTATGTAAGTTAAATTTAAAATTTGCATAAGGTTCCTTCAAGATTACAAAGTAAAAGTGAAGCTTTTTTCAATCTTGTTTTGTTAGTAAGACAATCTGTAGCCTCTCAGTAGGTTTGTATGAAGTATGTTTACTGATTCTTTTTTGGGTGTATTTTGTGTAGATTGTTTTTACAGTAACTTATGTTTCTGTTCAACAAGCACACATGGCATATGTCTTTGAGACGTAAATTCAAATCAGAGCGGGCACCACTAGTCGACAGTGAGGCAGTGAGGCGTTGTAAGGAGAAGTTGGTTCTACGAGGAGAGGCAGCCTAATAAATGTCAATGAACAAGTCAGAAAATGTTGTCAGTTGGTGTGAGGGACATCTTGAGCTATAAAATGTCTTGCCTCTGTTATTACATCTAAAACTAAGGATTAGGATGCAACTGTACCCTTTTTTCAAACGAAACAATACCAATACTTGGATTAGAGCACTTGCTAATACAAAGTACCAGTGCTAATACTTCTACCTCACAAAATATTATTAATTAGAAGGTGCTAAAAGAGGGTGAACTAGATTTTAAAAAAAAAACATTTTAAATATGACTCCAAAACTAAAATTTCAAGTTAACAATTAAGATTTTATGTGAAATTATTTCAGAGTTTCCATATTTTAAATATTGGTTCATGGTATCGGTTAACTTTAACCGATACGAGTTCTTTGTGATGCACAGATCGTGTCAGCTCTAATTGTATATTTAGTCTTATGTTGGGTTTCTAATCTGTTTTGACTTTCTCTTCTCACTCTTGCTTTCTTTCAAGGGACCATGCGTCCAAGGAGAGGATTTATTATCCATAGACGCCCACTTAAAGGTCTTACAGTGCCAATATCAGAAGATGCAACCAGATACCATGGTGGTTCATAACCGTATGCAGCAAACGTTTGCTTGGCGGCAAAAAGAAATTGCAGATGGTATGCCTGTGGAGGATGTGTTGAAGAAGTACCCCTTCTTAGGGATGCCTACTGGTGTAAGTCAGAAAGCTGAATTGAACTTGGAAATAGCTGTCACATTTAACATGTTTATAGTAGTAAATTTTATTTGCCCTTGACCTTGTTTTCTTCATCTGTCCCTCTTTCCTTTTTTCGTATGTTCATGTAACTTCTTACAGTATTGTTGTTAAATTCTATAAAAAAAATAATTATGCAGCACCATACATAATTAATATCAACTTTAGATTATTTCATTTTCATACACTGTTATTTTGTACTGAAAATTAATTTTTTACTTGTAGCTGTGCAACGAACTCAGGTGGATCCAACCAACAACGGGTAATGTAAGCCAGCGAAGGTGATTGGCCTTACACGAGGGAAAACCCCACTCTACCAGCTCTACCTTGATGCAAGAGAGGAGGCTCTCACTGATGACCTACCAGGTATTTGCTTTTTTTTTTAACTTCAAGGCTTCCATTTTATATAATTTTTATAGGTAACTGGAAATGCCAGATAAAATGCATGGGTGATCTTGTGTTTTGTTTTGTTTTTGGCAGATCTTGACACAAGGGCTGCACTTTTATTCCTGCCATATGTCTTCAAGGAGAAACTGGATCTCTTTGTCATACTTGGAGAGGTGTGTGTATTAAAATATTTAGTCTATATAAAAGGAAAACAAATGTATCTTTTGTTAAGAGACTAATATATTGCTTTCCTCTACCTTCTCTTTTGACTTCAAAGGTTCATCCTAAAACCCCCTATCCAACTGTTCAGCTACTTCATGAAGACTGGAAACCAGTGTTCTCCAGAAGCGCTCCAAACATTGTGAAGTTGGATGGCAGTGAAGTGTGCAGAAGCTCGTGTATTTTTGAAGGAATCATCTCTTCTTTCTGCTTGTATTTTGTCTTCAACCTTGCTTATCCAAAACATCTGAAGAACACCCTGATTTTTCTCCAAAAGTACATTGTGAAAATAGATGAGGGTGAGGACCGGCCTCTGCCAATCACAGTCACCAGACAAATAAATCTTCTGTATTGACCACCATGCCTCAGCCATATCAGTGCTCCAAATGTGGCAGAAGAACCTTTAGTTTGACAAAGCTTATGCAGCACATAGGACTTATTCATTCCCATGATGCCAATTTTGATATAACCTGTGGACTCAGTGACTGCTGTTCTTCCTTCAAAAAATATGAATCTTTCAGACGACATGTGTATAGGAAACACAGAGAACAGGTGTTGTGTTAATATTGACACAATGTGGGTCTTTTGTGGAAAAATCTCATTCCTCTGTTATATGACAACCATTTTCATTCATACAGTGTTAGAGTTGATAGTGAATGGACGTTGCTAAAACCTGGACAGGAAATTGATGTTGCAGCTTATGACACATACTCTGTTGATAACAGTTTGTATGTAACAGTTAAGCAATGTATTTAAGAAGGTAATAAATGTGACAAGTATTTTTGACTTTGTATCTTCAATTTTTCAAATCTTGAGAGGAAAAATATAGGAAATCTGTGTGTAGATACTGAACCTTTAGAAAGACATTTTTGTACTCCTTTTAAGGGTTCTTTTTGTACTTTATACTAAGGGTACAATTTTGCCCTTTAAAGTACAGGTTTGACGTGTAAAAGGTACAAATTACAAGGGTACAAATCAGTACCCACAGTTTAGGGTACAGAACGGTACCTTAGAGGGTACCACCCCAGTGACAAGCCATTGTACCCCTATAGGTACATTTCTGTACTTTAATTTCTGAGTGTGTGGCATCATATATACATCATATCAGCAGCACAAACAATGCACCTTTTTGGACTTGGACCCCTCTGATGAACACTGATGAGCTCTTTTTTTCCTTCAGATTTCCCAACTTTGTCAACCAATCACAGATCTAGTTCTGTTAATGAGACCTTGGGACTCGGTGTGTCACGTTCTTTATCATCCCGGCCTCACAAGCCTCGATGAGAAAAAGATAATACTTTTCCATCCTGTTGCTGATTTACATCATGGTCCTGGGAGGAAACAGCATCATCATCTATGTGGTACAGAGAACAGTTTAATCAATATTGTCTTAGTCTAATAAAGAGTTGAGGATGAGGTGAGGATGTGACGATTACCATCTATGTCTTTCCTGCTGCAGGCACTGACGGATCCAAAGCTCAACTCTCCACTCTACTTCTTCCTCTGCAACCTCTCCTTTGTGGACATGGTCTACACCACAACCACCATCCCCAACATGCTATCTGGCTTACTGACAGATATCTTAACCATCTCTGTCCTGGGCTGCTTCCTCCAGATGTACTTCTTCATTCAGTTAACTGTTACAGGCCGTGCCATTCTCACAGTCATGGCATACGATCGCTACGTGGCGATCTGCAACCCTCTGCAATACAACAGCATCATGACCAGGCCTGTCCGACTGCTACTTGTTGCAGGAGCCTGGGGATTCGGTGCAATTTGCACTCTTCCTGTTACTGTGATTGCCTTTGAGAGGCCTTACTGTGGCCCAAATGTGGTGAAACATGCCTGGTGCGACCCATCTTCTGTAAGGCGGCTTGTGTGCAGTGACACCTCTTTGGATAACATTGTGTCTCTCTTATTTGCAATGGTGTCGCTGGTGACCACAAGTGTCTTCATACTCTCCTCCTACATCTTGATTGGTTTTTCCATATCCAGGATGGTTGTTGCTCAGAGGCTGAAGGCGCTCAGAACATGTTCTGCCCACCTGACTGTGGTGTCCATCTCTTATGCAGCAGCCTCATTTGTATACATTTCCTACCGAGTGGGAAACTTTTCATCAGAGGTAAAAACTTTGCTTTGCTTTCTCTGTAATGTCTCAGTGCAGTACTCTGTAAAGGTCTTGAGCCACCTCTATTTATTTATATTTTTGGTAGGAAAACAAGAAATACATGCAGAGATTTACTGAAACAAACAGACCAAAATGGAAATACAGTATCAATGACAAAAACAGCATTTGGACATTTCTAATGAGCTGTCAATATTTGCTATAACCACATTTATTCTCCACCTTTTCTTCTTCAGCAGAACCAGGACTCTCATGGACAAGATTTCATGTAAACTCCCCTGAGTGGGTTAGGGTACTTGTTGTTTCTAAATTGGCCTAGGTGTGAATAAGAGCGTGAGATGAGCAAAAAAGAAGCCAGTGGCTAAAGAAGGAATTTGAAAGACCTTCAGAAATCCTGGAGAACTATTGGTTAAGACGACTTTAAAGGAAAACATAAAGAAATGTGGTTTAACACTTTTGCACATTACTATACGTCAAACGGTTTAAAGTGTCAAAGAAACAACATTAACAGTAACATTAAGAGTTTGGTGACATTGCTCAAAGTAAGTCTAAAGAGCTTGGAAGAAAGCTGGACTTCTTTAACTTTCTTGAAGGCAATTCCCCTTTCATTTGAGAAGCTTCTTCAGTTGAGAAGCTTGAAGTCATCTAGGTCATCCTACCACGACCTGGATGACTGAGAACCTACACAGACATATTGCCTCAAAATAAGGTACATTTGTTTCACTTGTGTTTTCATTTAGGGCTGAGCCCAGAGAGTTAACAGCCAGTGTTGGGAAAGTTACTTTTAAAGTGTATTCCACTACAGATATATTACAGATGTATTACTATTACTGAAGGCTACTCGCCATTACAATGCCAACTAGATCATTAAATCTTAATATAATCTTAATATAAAATGGACATTAGGTAAGGCTGCACTTTTTGCAGTGATTGTGTATAGGAGACTGTTTCTGTATCAGTCTAAGAAGCTTGGAAAGCTTCTCATCTGAGAAGCTTCTTGAGTTCTGACTATGATGACCTGGATAACTGAGAACCTTCACAGACATATTTCTGGATCAGTAATATGTTTTCTTTTTATCTGTTAATAATCATGTGGAACTGCACATGATTATTTACAGCTAGCAAGTTGTTAATGCTATCCATCAGTCTAAAACCACCATGTTAATATGTGGAGATCCTGAAGGCTGCTCAAAAAGATAATATTTTAAATATTTGTTCAATTAAAATTAGTTCAAATTATTATTTTTTTCTTAAAGAAATCTGCTACATCATGTATAATTTATGTCATGTGTAATTTCCATTGCAAATATCAATCACAGCTAAATTAAGAGGGGATGGCAGTAAAAAGCTGTGATGTCATCAAGTACACTGCCGTTCTAATTGTGGAACGATCGCACTGCGTTCTCAGGAAGTCTGGACTCCTGTGTGAACTTACGAAGTCCGGACACGCGAAAATACGAGTACGGACTCGTGTACAGTGGCTTGCAAAAGTATTCGCCCCCCTTGAACTTTTTTTGTCACATTACAGCCACAAACATGAATCAGTTTTATTGGACTTCCAGGTGAAAGACCAACACAAAGTGGTGCACACGTGAGAAGTGGAACGAAAATCATACATGATTGCAAACATTTGTTACAAATAAATAACTGCAAAGTGGGGTGTGCGTAATTATTCACCCCCTTTGGTCTGAGTGCAGTCAGTTGCACATAGACATTGCCTGATGAGTGCTAATGACTAAACAGAGTGCACCTGTGTGTAATCTAATGTCAGTACAAATACAGCTGCTCTGTGACGGCCTCAGAGGTTGTCTAAGAGAATATTGGGAGCAACAACACCATGAAGTCCAAAGAACACACCAGACAGGTCAGGGATAAAGTTATCGAGACATTTAAAGCAGGCTTAGGCTACAAAAAGATTTCCCAAGCCTTGAACATCCCCAGAGCGTTCTCACTCCCGAGGCGTAACATGTCGACGTTTTGTCACGTCCCGCGGCGTTCCTGAGGAACGCGAAAGGAGACCTTCGGCGTTCTTATGGTACGCGGCGGGTTATGGCTGGAATCCAGTGCAATGACGCTCCCGCGGGAGTAGACGTTCCAGCCCTGTATTCCAGCCCTAAACCTAACCTTATCCCTAGCCCTGACCATAACCTTATTCCTGACCTTAACCAGGACTTTAATGATGTTAAATAGCGTGTTTCTAAGCGATTTGAAGAATAAGAGCGAACATGTGTAGGTTCAGTCCAGACGGTTCTCATATTTCCTCTTTTTCTGAGGTCGTCATTTAGGAACGTGGTGGGTAGCCGAAAACGTAATATGTTGACGATTTGTCACCTAGCGTAAAATGTTACGCTTTGGGAGTGAGAACGGGTTGACATCCCACAGAGCACTGTTCAATCCATCACTCAGAAATGGAAGGAGCATGGCACAACTGTAAACCTACCAAGACAAGGCCGTCCACCTAAACTCAGGCCGAACAAGGAGAGCGCTGATCAGAAATGCAGCCAAGAGGCCCATGGTGACTCTGGACGAGCTGCAGAGATCTACAGCTCAGGTGGGGGAATCTGTCCATAGGACAACTATTAGTCGTGCACTGCACAAAGTTGGCCTTTATGGAAGAGTGGCAAGAAGAAAGCCATTGTTAACAGAAAACCATAAGAAGTCCTGTTTGCAGTTTGCCACAAGCCATGTGGGGACACAGCAAACATGTGGAAGAAACTGCTCTGGTCAGATGAGACCAAAATGCAAAACGCTATGTGTGGAAAACTAACACTGCTCATCACTCTGAACACACCATCCCCACTGTCAGATATGGTGGTGGCAGCATCATGCTCTGGGGGGGCTTCTCTTCAGCAGGGACAGGGAAGCTGGTCAGAGTTGATGGGAAGATGGATGAAGCCAAATACAGGGCAACCTTGGAAGAAACCCTCTTGGAGTCTGCAAAAGACTTGAGACTGGGGCGGAGGTTCACCTTCCAGCAGGACAACGACCCTGAACATAAAGCCAGGAAACAATGGAACGGTTTAAAACAAAACATATCCATGTGTTAGGATGGCCCAGTCAAAGTCCAGATCTAAATCCAATCCAGAATCTGTGGCAAGATCTGAAAACTGCTGTTCACAAACACTAATCTGACTGAGCTGGAGCTGTTTTGTAAAGAAGAATGGGCAAAGATTTCAGTCTGTAGATGTGCAAAGCTGGTAGAGACAGACCCTAAAAGACTGGCAGCTGGACCTGCAGCAAAAGCTGGTTCTACAAAGTATTGACTCAGGGGCTGAATAATTACGCACACCCCACTTTGCAGTTATTTATTTCTAAAAAATGTTTGGAATCATGTATGATTTTGTTTCCACTTCTCACGTGTGCACCACTTTGTGTTGGTCTTTCACCTGGAATTCCAATAAAACTGATTCATGTTTGTGGCTGTAATGTGACAAAATGTGGAAAAGTTCAAGGGGCCGAATACTTTTGCAAGCCACTGTACATGAGGATTTAGAAAAGGCCTAACAATCTGCAAACTACCCTCAGCTAACGCCAGCTAACAATGTTAGCTCGGTATGGAGTATCCTTCATTAAAAGTAATAAATATCACACAGCAATAGTACATCAAAGATACTGAAGTTTCGCCCATCCCATTCTTCTTATGAGGTTGTGTTGGAATTTCCAAGAAATGCATTCCTGCCCGTGCACTGCTGGCTGTTGGGCTGGCTCTGGGTCAGCCCAAAAGCTGATGCCACCAACATTAACAGGACACTTACATTACAGCCTCTTATTATGTGTTTTGTTTGGGTTTCCAGCAATCAGAATCAGGTAAACTTTATTAATACCAGATGGAAATTGTTAAAAAGAAGAAGAAAAAAGGGCCTGCTGCGAATTGTACTCGAACTCAGGCCGGCTGCTCATAGCCATGCGATATATGACTACATGCACCTGCGCCAAGTGTGTTTAATCGCCAAAATTGGAGAAGGCATAGAGAGGGGATAGCCTAATATATGAAGCCAGAAACGATTGCTGTGTATTCTATTTATTTCAGCAAAGTAACTGTATTCTGATTACCACCTATTTAAATGGTAACTGTAACAGAATACAGTTACTCATATTTTGTGTTTTAAATACATAACGCCGGTACATGTATTCTGTTACTCCCCAACACTCTTGACAACCAGGTGATATGTTAAATCACCTTGTGGATACAATAAACCACGACAAACCAAAAAGTACTTGCATCATTACTGTGATAACATGTTGATATGACTTCCACCACAGAGCTGGATACTTTCATAATGTTTCTGGTTTAAATCCCAGGGAAAAAAAGTCATGCCAGTTTTTACCAAGGGCCATGCAGCATGACTCCTGGGTAAAAACCATTCATGCTAAAGGACCAGATGGACCAGCAATGTCATCCTCGAGTATATAAACAGATGAATTAAGCATTACATCTGACTCTGTTTCAGGTGCGGATCATTGTGTCTGTGCTGTACTCTGCTCTGACTCCCTTCCTGAACCCGATGATCTACAGTCTGAGGAACAAAGAGCTGCGAGAGTCTATCAGAAGAACTTTGAGCAGGTTCAGACCTGCTGCTGTGTTACCCACCAAGAAAATCAGCACTTTGTCCTGAAAAAGTGTCTGACACAAATCATTTCTAGAAATGGTGATCTTTTAATTACACGGTTGATTGTGCCAATATTAATAATAGTTGTCCAATTGTTTATGTACTGATGAGCTCATATATAAAATCTACTGATAAAGTACTGCATTAATTAGTTAACATTTTGTCATTTTGGTTCCTTGTCTCTGTCACTTTCTTTTAATGTTTGAAATAAAGTCAATGTTAACAAAACCTTTAAACGTTTTTACATTTCTCTTCAGCTACACCAGACAGTACAGCAGTAAGCTGTGAATCTTGAAGCTGTTATATTGTTAAATAGTGGTTAACAGAGACTACATGAGTTATCTGGGTCATTCATGAAGTGATTGGCTTACACCCAAGTGTTCTTATGACTATTTTACAGTTAAATAATAATTCATATATAATTATTATAATTATTACAGAGAATTTGTTAAGCAGTTCCTGACCCAAGTGGAGGAGTTTAAGTATCTCGGGGTCTTGTTCACGAGTGACGGGAGAAGGGAGCTGGAGAGTGACAGACGTACCGGTCTGTTGTGGTGAAGAGAGAGCTGAGTGTAAAAGCGAAGCTCTCAATTTACCGGTCGATCTACGTCCCTACCCTCACCTATGGTCCACGAGCTGTGGGTAGTGACCGAAAGAATGAGATCGCGAATACAAGTGGCGGAAATGGGCTTCCTCCAAAGGGTGGCTGGCCTCTCCCTTTGAGATAGGTTGAGAAGTTCGGCCATTCGGGAGGGGCTCAGAGTAGAGCAGCTGCTCCTCCACATCGAAAGGAGCCAGCTGAGGAGGTTCAGGCATCTGACAAGGATGCCTTCTGGGTGAGGTTTTCCAAGCATGTCCCACCGGGAGGAGGCCCTGGGGCAGACCCAGGACACGCTGGAGAGATTATATCTCTCAGCTGGCCTGGGAATGCCTTGGTGTTCCCCGGATAAGCTGGAGGAGGTGGCTGGGGAGAGGGAGGTCTGGGCTTCTCTGCTTGGGCTGCTGCCCCCGTGACCCGGTCCCGGAGAAGCAGAAGAAGATGGATGGATGGATTATTAAGAAATTTGTGATTGACAAAATGCCCAAGTATCATTAATATTAATTTTGCACAGAACTTCTTTTTGCAAGAATCTGAAAATCTGGTAGAAGCTTGGTGGCCTTTGTTGAGGGAACTAGTGTGACACTAACTTCAGTTAAACTTACAGTTGGCTGTTTGTTTTTTCTTTTTCTTTCTTTTTCTTTTTTTTTACAAAAACTGATGCAATTTCATAAACTTAGAATTAATTTATTAAAAATACATAGAAGCCAGTCTCCTGAATTGAAGCCGTGCAGGGCTCTAACACACCAAAATGTGCATAAACGTGCTCATTCATGGTTTCCATAGGATTATGCACTTAAATTGACAGCACTAAGAAAACACAATTTAGTTCACTGCGATCAGCACTTCGCTCTCGCTCTGCAGGCCTACTTGTTGTTCCTAGAGTATTTAAAAGTAGAATGGGAGGCAGAGCCTTCAGTTTTCAGGCCCCTCTTCTGTGGAACCAGCTTCCAGTTTGGATTCGGGAGACAGACACTATCTCTACTTTCAAGATCAGGCTTCAAACTTTCCTTTTTGCTAAAGCATATAGTTAGGGCTGGACCAGGTGACCCTGAATCCTCCCTTAGTTATGCTGCAGTAGGTGTAGACCAATCAATCAATCAATCAAAATTTATTTATATAGCACATTTTTAAAGACCGAAGTACACCAAAGTGCTTTCCAGTAAAATCATGATACAGATAAAACTGCTGGGGGATTCCCATGATGCACTGAGTATTTCTTCTTTGGTCACCTTTCTCACTCGCTATGTATTAACAGACCTCTCTGCATTGAATCATATCTGTTATTAACCTCTGTCTCTCTTCCACGGCATGTCTTTATCCTGTCTTCCTTCTCTCTCCTCAACCAGTCACAGCAGATGGCCCCGCCCCTCCCTGAGCCTGGTTCTGCTGGAGGTTTCTTCCTGTTAAAAGGGAGTTTTTCCTTCCCACTGTCGTCAAAGTGTTTGCTCATAGGGGGTCATATGATTGTTGGGTTTTTCTCTGTATCTATTATATTATATCTAGCCACTGTACAATATAAAGCACCTTGAGGCGACTGTTGTTGTGATTTGGCGCTGTATAAATAAAATTGAATTGAATGCTCTAGAAATTTCTAAGAACCTAAATATGAAAATATGCTACTGAAATGTCACCTTTAGGCTTTCATCAAAAGTGTCTCACTGGCACTGGAAAAAAAAATTGAAAAACATAAACCACAGTAAATTTGATACTTTTGGAGCTGGGGATTTTTTTAGACCCTTGTAAATGTTTCATTTTCTCTCTTATCTTTGTTATGAAATAAATATATATTGTTAGTGCTTATTTTCTGTTTATATTGGTTTATAGAGTAGGAAAACGCCCCTGTGAGTTAGAATGTGTGCCAAAAGTCACAGAGTACTGACAGAAGACTGCACGCTTTGTGCAGAGAACAGGAAGCGTGGCAGACAGAAAGTGAAACTAAGTAGAGTGTTTAATCGAAACTTAAAGTGTTCGTGAAGTCTAGAGGAAGTATATAAATAACCAGACTGCCTGCTGCTGCTTCAGACTTGAGCTGATGACTCTGTGCTCAGTCTCTGTTCCCAGCAATGTAAAATAAAGATCATTTTTTGAGCTTTGACCACTTTGAGCCTAGTCTTTCTTTGCCGTTAAAAGAATACAAAGAACTGAATTTAATATCTTCCCTACACTTAAAGCACTATTATGGCCTCATTGAACAATACAAAAATGAAGACTTTTAAAGATCATGCACTCAAATAGTGGCCAGATAACACAATAATGAATAATGACAAACAAGCTGAAGTGATGCTCACTTATCGATATACACCAGGGTCGGCAACCTTTCTTATGATGAGTGCCATCCAAAATTTCCTCAGAAGTCAATGTGCCATATGATTACATTAGCAATAAATTTAATGACGCTCTATAGTAACAGTTACACACTATATAGATCAACTTTACAGAATTATATTTGTTCAGATGTTGGCAGCTGTCAGCGAATAGTTATCAGCTACTTTGAAAAAAAAAAAAAGACTTTTTATCCATAACAGCAAATGAACTGAACAACAGAAAATACAAATGCTGTTTATGGCCTCCTCACAACAGTGATAAGAAAAATAAACTGGGCCAATATGTTTGTTGATACAGAGACACACATGTTACTGTGATCTCTGGTCTCCGAGTGTCCAGCATTAAGAGGCTGCCTGAGGACTCATGTGAGAGAAAATCTGCTCACACAGATATGTAGAGCCAAACACTGTCAATAAGGCCTCTGCAACGTTCTGTAGACAGTTAAACTTGTCAGGTAGTGACGTCCAGCAGGTGAAAATGCAAGCTCCATGAACACGCACAGCTGTGGACTGTAGGCTAAGTTATTTTTAGCCAATTACAAGTTGAATCTGGTTGTTGGGCTGTTAGCTAAGATACCGTCATTAAGAAGCAGCACAACTAATGTGTCTATGCGAGCTACTTTGCATGCCAGCTATGGTACACGTTCCCAGGGTTGCCGACACCTGATATACATCTACTTGACCCACTGTAGGATATTCATTTGGTATTAAGAGGTGTTACCACACTCTGCAATTTTATCACAACTAATCCACAATTTGTCCCCATAAAGTACCTCTGACAAGGAAAATGTCTGATCAGTTTCCAAAGTATTTGTATGTATGTATCTATGTATATATATGTATATATTGTACTATTCTTAGTTAGCGTATTGTCTGTCTTGTCTTAATGTTGGTTTAAAATGGAGCACTGTAACAAAAAATAATTTCCCCCAGGGATCAATAAAGTATTCTGATTCTGATTCTGATTCTGATTCTGATTTGGACATGTTAGCATAAACAAAGACAAAAAAGAAGCTTAGTTCACCAGTAACTCTGTTACAGATGACACAAGAATTGTTTCTTTACATAAGACTCTTGTTTGCTTAGTAATATATTTAATCTATGATTAATAATGATTTCTAAAGTAAACTTTACCATACAGAAAACAGATGATGTATTGTGTTTTGCCTTGTTTACCAAAAGTAGCAGTAGTTAACCTGACATTAAGTGATAAAATGTTTTGGGTAAATTAATTTGAAAAGGTTTCACTGGTGATTTGAGGGTGCTTTCAAGAAACCAAACGTTTTTACATTTCTCTTATAAGGAAAGAGAGAACTTCCATTCATCCATTCTGAATGGATGAGAAATGGATGTGTGGTGCTGTGAAAGTCAAAAGTTAAAGAAATAATGGATTGCTGGAAAGTTTATGGTTATCAGATTATTTTCACCCGACATCAGTAACCTGACAGAGGTTAAAACATGTTTCTAAGGAGCACATGAGATTTCAGCATGGTAGTTTAAAAAGGTGTTAGGAAAAATGTACATATTGAAAAAGATTAAAGCTAAAATTCTTAAGAATACAAGTGTCAAAGTAACAACATGCAATTAAACGCATACAATATTGCCGTTGCATAATAAGATCACAAATTTCAACAAAGTTCAACTGAATGAGATGTGTAAAAATAACAGTCAGTTTCCTATATTAAATTATAACTCAAAGCCTGTTAAACACAGTTAAAAGATCAGTTTCTTATAGCTAAAAATGAAATTGCCCTGCAGGAGAAGGAAGTCATTTTTTCCTTGTAAAAATAGTATAGACAGTGATTTTTTCTCTAACGGCTTTGATCTGATGTCCGTAAATAATGGCGTTTAAAGAAGGTGGTACCACGTGGAACAAGATGGATGCCAGCTTCCTATGGTCTGAAAGGTTCTCAAACCGATGCAGAATGATGATGATGTTTCCTGACAGAAGCAGAATGATGTACACAGCCAGGTGTGCACAGGTTTGCAGGGCTTTACTGTTCAGAGCCTGGTTTTTCCTACTCAAACACACCATGGAGATCCTCAGGTAGGTGATCGTCACACTCCACAGTGAGCAGGCCATTTTGGCCATGGTGGAGCCGAGGCCATAGAACATTTTCACATGAGAGCTTGAACAGGGAGGCGTTGTCGCAGAACGGGTTGCTGATGGTGCGTCTACAGCGAGACAAGCGAATGCTGAGGCCAAATAGCAAAATAAATCAGAGAGAAAGCAAAAAAGTCATGACTGCCCAAATCAACAAATGGGTACAATGTTAGAAATAATTAATGTACTGGTTGAATCAACAGCACCAAATGACCTGAAAGATCACAGAAGACAAATGAAATGCAGAGTAGCAGAATTATTTCCATGGTTAAGGGGAAAAATATGACATAACATTTAACCAAATCAAAACACTTTTGACGAGGTTGCTACAATCAAAGCTACAATCAAGATGTGCCGTCATAAATGGAAATAAAGGGAGTTTACAACAAGCTGCAAACCAATTTTTACACTAAAGAAGAGGAAGGCCAGACAACATCTGAATGAGTCTGCACACGTCTTAAAAGATTCTTTGAACAGATGAAAGATGGAACTGGGTCAACTTTTTAGCAGCACTGATGCACGGACTGCTTCTAACCTGCTATGCTAGTGTGAACAATGTGGACAGAATAAGTTAGAGAAACCAACTAGGAACCCGCAGAGTGCCAGCTGAGATGCCAGCACCTCTCAGACAAAGCCATTTGTTGAAGTGGCTGTATGACAGTTTCTACAGGTGGAAGAAGAGCAGTAATCAACATCTGCACACGTATTGCCTGTAACAAGTAAACAGATTTTTTTGTGTAAGTCAATACATGTTACAAATATTGTATAATTAATGTCCTCATTTGTTGTAGTACAAGCAAGATAAAAATAATATATGAATAAAGTTCAGTTCCGCCACTGAGTTAAATTTACATAGACAGTTCACCAGTTCAGAAAATAATAGAAATTGAAGGGAACTGCACTTACTACAAAAAGAAATTTAAACTTCATGGCAGAAACAGAAAAACCAGATGAACAGATTCAACCTGTTCAACCTTTTGGGATTTAAAAAAAAAACAAAAAAACTTTTGTTCCACATGCATAGGTCAAAGGAGCAGTGTGGGATTTAGCAGTGAAGTTGCATATTACAACTAACTGAATTCAGTGAAATGCGACATAAGAAATGGAAAAGAGTAAGCGTGAGCTGTTACCTAATCATCACCTGATGCACTATCTAGGTTGTGGTTGTGGTTTGTTTTATTATGTGTGAAGCTCTTTAAGTTTGTGCAGCTTCCCCGCTTGAAAGGGATTGATGCATCTACCACAACTGGATTTTATACAATGATCAGGCAGATCTTTTGTTTTCCTTCTTTCTTTAATCTTCTTTTCGGCCATAGTCAGCTATAGGTGAAAAACATTTAGATACAAACCAAAAACCAAAATACAAATTATGTTTGCTATCATACATCTGAGAATATTGTGAACAATCCCAAACATTTTTTTACCACATCAATGCAGTGCATAAGCTTCGTAGCACAATTTGTACTTGAGTATTATTTATAATAATTATAATAATTAAATGATTAATCTGCATTTGAGCTTAAGCAGTAACAATAGTATTTATAACCAGCTTCTCTTAACCATATGCAAGCATTAACAGTCTTCCATGCAGACCAACAATAAACAATAGTGCTGCTTGCGACCAACTCACGGCACAATGTTAATGCTACGTAAGGACTTAGCCCCAGAACCGCTGTAACTTGAGCATACCCGGACATTGACGTCCCTCACAATACCTTTTTTGTCTGGATTAGTGCTGACAACTATGCCCATCTTGAAGTGTCCTCTCAGCGCATTCTGATCACTTAACCAGACATCTCCAACAGCGACATTTCTGTGTGCAGTGTGCCACTTGCTCCTTACAAACAAATTGGGGCCAGCAAGTTGGCTCCAGGACCTCCAAAACTTGTCACTTCTGGAGTCTTCCTGGAGTCTCTTATAGGGGTAAATGGAAAAGTCAAACATCTTGAAGTCCCCATTTTGAGATGCTCGACCAAGCAAAAGAGTGTTGGGTGTGACGTAATGAATGCAACCTTCCCGACTCTGTACTCTGGCATTAATCGGGCGCTCATTTGCAAGGTTAGCTGCCACATGAAGAGCTGTCTGGAACTCACTGTAACTTAGCCCAGACTCCCTTCCAAGACTCTGGAGCGCTCTCTTCACAATGCGCACAGCAGCCTCAGCAGCTCTATTCCTATGTGGGGAATCAGCTGGATTAACTTTCCACATCCACTCTGTTCCATTCTTTGCCGCAGTCTCCTCCAAGACGAGCTTGTTCTGACTTTCCAAGAATTCATAAAGTTCCTTCAAGACAGACTTTGCTCCTATGAAATTGGTGCCAGGGTCGGACCAGATCTTTCTTGGATGTCCTCTAATTGCTGTAAATCTCTGGTAAGCCATCAAGAATCTTTCAATCGACAAGGAGTTTACTAACTCCGTGTGAATCGCCCTGCTGGCCATACAACAGAATACAACTTAAAATCAAAAGGTAAACCAGGTTGAGTTCGTTCCGGAGGTAAGTCACCCATTATTTGCCGGCAACTCTGTACTTTTGCTTTCCGGCAAACCACACAACCATCAACAACCTTTTGGGCAATTCTTCTCCCTCTGATGACCCACGCTTTCTTCCTCATTCTGAGCAGGGTCCCAACAACTCCCTGATGACTCTTGTGGAGATACAGAAATTCTTTTATTGCTGCCATATAATCTGCATCATTATAACTGCAGTAATAACATTCAATAATATTTCTTACAGTATTGATATTGCATTAAAGTTGTTGATTGAAGATGTCCATTTGAGGATCCTTCCTTTAGGTTAACTTTTATTACAAGTATGGTTAGAAGTATTTATACACATTGCATATCTGTGCTTATTTTGAGTTGATGTTCGGTTCATTAAGGGTCTTAAGCTTCACTGGCGTGACTGTCCAGGTGATGCATGCTGAGGGAAACTAGAACATAGAAGGATAACTTCAATGCATGCTTACAACACATATAATCTAGGAATGCGTCAGGCCTGAGGCCTTAACTCATTTGGTGTCTCGCTATATTTTACTCTACTTGGCAACAGATGACCAGAGTCAATAATTAGCCCCAGAGACCCTGAGGCTTGAAGTTTATTACCTTGTATGGAAGGTGTTATAGAAAAGAGAAGTTCTATGTCTGTCTATAGCTATTGAAGATGTACAAGATGTACAATTAATGTCTGGAACCTATTTTGATCTGTCATTGATGCCATGGGGGGGCGTGTACCCCGCTGCTTTATAAGTATCCACAACATGTATTTTGGTCAGAAGACATATGTTGGTGTTTTCTCCTGGCTGTTAATAAACTCACCGTTTGAGTGCACTTTTCTGGGGCCTCCGTGGTTTGTGACACTTCTCTACATTGGTCGATTTTACGACACTCTAATTGTGGGCCTCCCGGGCTAACAGTGTAGACACCCACTCATCATAAGCCAAGATGGGAACACTAATCAGGTCTTCTTAAAAGCTTGCACTCGGCCACCACAAACAAAGAGCCCAGAGCCTGGGTCTTTGTATACTACCAGTCTATCTGTAGTAGTGCTTGGGAAGACTGCGCTGTTTTGTGCAGCAAGGAAGATGTCTCTTAGGGCATCTTCACGTTCCTTCACTGAAATTACTCCTGCCAACGGGACTGCCTCCACTTTGGGTCATTAGCAGCTGGATTTCCCCCAAGAAACTTTCTTGCTGCTCTCCAAGTCAAAGCAACTGATCTAACCAATCGAGTTAGGCCACTGAACCGCTTGACATCTACAAGGTTGTTGATGATTGACCCTGCAGGTGGTCTTCGCTGCTCTCCCTGGGCTCAGCCGACTTTGCTTTCTTCCTGCCCCCTTATCTTGGCCCTTGTCAAGGCAGCGACAAATGCCTTTCTTTGCAGCTTATTGACGTTTTCTTTGGCATGGCGGCTAACTCTTTAGCTGACCTAACTGGCCACTTGCTCACAGGCAGACTCAAGAACCTTGGACCATTTTGCCACTGAGTCTTCATCTAGATCTCTGGGACTAGCTCCTCTTGTGACTACATCCACAATGTTCTGAGGGCTAGGGATCCACCACCAATCTTGAATCCTTGTGCTGCTCTGTATTTCTCCAATCCTATTTGCGAAAAAGGTCTGATAACCATAGCTCTCCCGCTGTATTGCCCCAATGACCGTTTGGCTGTTGACAAAGTGTGTCTCAAAGTATTCTTTAGGCGTGAGGCAAACACTGCCCACACAGCTCTGCTTTGACAACATCGCCTTTGTGGGCCAATGGAGTTAACTTAGCTTTGGACTCACCAACCTGATGATTGTGCCCTGATCTGAATTCCACCTTAAGTACAACACTGCCCCGTAGGCTTGCTCACTTCCATCGGAGAAAGTAATTGCCCAGGGTTCTTCAGTGAAGCATGGGGGAGTTAGCGTCCTGGCAAATGTGAATTTGCTGAGCTGGGCATACTCCTCAAAAAGCCTAATGGCGTCCTCCCTCAGGGCATCTGAGAGCGCCATGTCCCAAGTGTCCTTGACCAAACAGCTTTCTACTTTTGTCTCTTGGAATGCTCTGCGAACTAAGATTGCTCCTTTTTGCTTTGCAGGAGTGACCAAACCGACTGGATCCTACAACCCTGACACTTGACTGAGAAGCTCTATTCGTGTCAGCGGGTTTAGTGTGTGGGTCTTAATCTGCTCCTGGACAAGGTCTTGGCCAACTCGCATCTTTTTCTTCATCTCGGAGAAGTTGATTGCTACCATGAAATGAAGCTTGTCTTCTTCCACTATATAACCTATACCAAGAGCTTTGTTTTCTTCATCACGCATTTGGTTGGTAAGACCATGGTTTTCATTCTTGTCTTCTCACCCTTGTCATCGTGCTTCCTCCTCCCACTTTGCCCAGATAAGACCCAAGGCTTCAGCTCAAATCCTCCAGCCTTCAGAATTCGCACAATGTTCTCTGTAATGACTTCTAGTTGGTTCAAGGTTCTTTATTTGTCACATGCATAGTTATACAAGTATAACACACAGTGAAATGTAGCCTGACACGCTATAGATAACATAGATAATATGTCTTAACAGATTATATTTCTGCAGTTTGAGAATTTTGTGTCCATCTTTGTCTCAGCAGGTTTGTCTATGACGTTAACCAAGATGGCGCCGCGTATGGTTGCCCTGGTGCTTCAGTGCATTATGACACCATGTTTGCACTGAAGCACCGCAGCAATTCCTAATGTTGTAAACTGCTCAACATTTGGCAATAAACCCCTTTCTGATTCTGATTCTGATTCTGAACTGTGACTGACTTAGTTTTAATGTCTGAGGTTTTAGAGACATGGTGAAGGATCTAGTTTCTAAGTCATTACTGCTAATCAGAGTCTGCTGGATCGATGACTGGCCGCGTTCTTCTGTCACAAAAGCAGGTTTGAACCACACACAGTGAGGACACCAGAATGCAGGACGGATTCAATCAAGTTTATTGCCACCTTTGTGACACATGACATATTTTCCATTTCTTCCAGATCAATATGGGAATGCTATGGAATATTAAATATGCAGTGCAGTTTGCAGTTAAAACAATGTCTGCAGACCTTACAATCTGTTCCACATAGCAGATAGAAAGGAATCATGGCAACAGCACAGTTATATCTAAAACAGTGGAAAAACATTATAGAACTCCTTCAAAAAAAAATCCAATGCAGTGTGGCAAAAATATTTTGCTTGTTCATGGTCAGCTTTGTATTAAATTTGGAGCAAGTACAAACAAAATGTAGTAAAGATGACCACTTGAAGAAAATATGCAAATTTCCCTTCACATTTGTGATATAGGGTTACATACTGTACCTGGCAAGAGGAGACAGCATCATCAACTCAACAGTAATT